ATGCGGCTAAGAGCAAGGGCTCTGGAGCCCCACTGCTCGGGCTTGGTGCTTAGTTCCAATATTAATTAGCTGTGTGACCTTGGGCTGGTCACTAACTTCTCTGTCCTTCAATTCCTTTCTCTGTAAAATGGGGATATTTATAGTACCTATTTTATAGAATTATTTGTAAAATATTTATAATAATGTCTGGCACAGAATAAATTCTGTCAGTGTTTTTAAAATAAATACATAAAACTTAATGAAGTCCTTTCATTGTGTTCCTTCTGTGTCTCAGAGAGTTTTTCAAACATTTAAATTCAGTAAATATTTACTGAGCTCTCACCTACACTGGGCATGTGCCAGGTACTGGGTGAGAATGAGTTTCCATGATCTCTGCCCTTCTAGATGTTCATGAACTAAGACTCTTTTTTAAAAATTCAAATTTAAAATTACTTTGAAATAATGATAAACTTACAGAAATTTGGAAGTGCAATATGACCTTTTCCCTGGAACTGTGTGAGAGTGAGTTGTCACATAACGCTCATCACACCTCATTACTTACTGTATCTTTCCTACAAGTGAAGGCATTCTCTTCCTTAACCACAACACAGCCACTCGGATCAGGAAAGTAACCATGGCATTTTACTACCATCCAATCTTCAGACCATCAATTGTCCCAGGAATATTTCTACAACAACAGGTTCCAGGTTAAATTTACGTGTTGAATTTTGTTGTCACATCTCTTTAGTCTCCTTTAGTCTAGAGCGTGTCCTCAAGTCCTTCCTTGTCTTTTATGTCCTTGGCACTTCTGAACATTACTGAGCAGTTATGTAAAATGTCCTTAAATTTGGATTTGTCTAATGTTCCTTCAGGATAATGTTTAGACTGCACCTTTTGACAGCAATAATATACAAACAATTCTGTGTTCTTTCCATTGCGTCTTATGAGGTAGCACAGAATTCCAAATTATTCCACACTAATAATGTCCATCATAACCACTTGATTGTGATGGTGTCAGGCAGGCTTCCCACTGTAAAGTTATCCTCTGCTCTTTTGTAACTAGTAAGCATTTTGTGGGAAGATCCTTCAAAACCATATAAATATTATGCCCTCATCAATTTTCGATTTGTTTGCTTATTTCTGAATGCACTCATAGTTTCCTATTTTATTCAATAGGTTATAATATGTTGCTATTATAATTTTTTGATGCTCAATAGTCCCTGATTTGGCCAATGGGAGTCCATTAAAGTTGGCTTCTATGTCCTTTTGACAGTTCTACCTTGCTCTTTGAGCTTTTCATTGCTTTCTGGCATGGCAAGATATTCCACTTACTTTGTACTTTTCCTGCTCCATCTTTGGTATCAGCTGTTTCTCCAAGGATCCCTGGTTCCTTTTAGTAGAAGGTGATATTTAGAAGTGAATATCTAGGCACTAGGTATGCTCATTGTCATTGTGGTATTATTGTTCCCAGGCCCTTGCAGTAGGCAGTACTATATTTATTTTTGGTTTTGTCTATGTATATTGAAAACCATTTATTCACATCAATATATGCAACTCCAGTTTAACAATACACAGGGTTCATTCTAGCTCTCTCCCTTTCTGCTATGCTAAAAATGCCTCCTGTATGTAACCAGTCTCCCATGTCTGTTGCTGTCCTGTCCCCTTGGCAGACTCCTTTCTCTAGATACACAGGACTGTGGCCTGTTCTAGGGTCAACTTCCACCCTGCCACATAAAGCCCCTCCTCAGTCTGCTTGGGCTCTGACACCCCACACCGCAGTTTTCAGAATGTCCTCTTCGCCTTATGTGGGTTCTAACTTCCCACACTGGGCTGTCACTCTTACTCCATGCCTCCGTGTGGACATCCCCTTTAACTCTTCTGGAGTCTCACCCCCATGCCAGGCGGCCCCTCCCATGTAAGCACCTTTTTCACCCTGCTGAGGGTATCAGTCGATTTCAATGTGACTCAGAGCAAATATTAAAGTGTTCCTTTCTTCAAACTCTTCAAAACTGAGTTTAAGAAACCAAGCCCAGAAAAACAAACAAATCTACTTTAATAACATGTATTACATTTTAAAATATGTAGCTTTGAATACTAAGATAAAATTTGTTCATTTTCCTGCTCACCTCCATTTTTAGCTTTAAATTAAAGCAAATGATGGGACTTAGCTGTGAGACTTCATCAGTTGACTGATGAGCTGGAAATGAAGGCATGTCTGAAAAGGGGTACAGAGCAAGATGCCCCCCAAACCCCCACAACCCTTGGTTGGGGGAAGGAGGGAGCAGACATATGGAAGTTAAGATACTTTTCATAACAATGACAAGCCGATGGCTAGCTAATGGTAGCTGCTACTGCCTGGGAGCAAAAGGTATGCACATGACTTTCAGAATGTATGGTGACTTGTGACACAGCTGGGGGTTGCACAGCCCCTGTGCAAGAGGCAGAGAGGCAGTTCTCCCTGTGTCACTGAATCACTCTCACCCTGACTAAAGGTGGCAACCAAGAGAGTGTAAACGATGTGGGAAACTGGTAAATGCAGCTCATTGTGGGAGGAGCTGCATAGACAGTCATGAAGGAAGCTCCAGGGCAGGGTTTCAGCTAAGGGTGGGCAGAGAGAGAGAGAGGCTGGTGCATCATCAGAGCTGAGAGAGTGGATAGCAGCCATGCTGGTCTGTAGTAAAAAGGGCAGCCATGTGAGGGAGATTCGGCCGTGCTGCCAATGGTGAGGTAGGAGCCATGTGGGTGGAGTGAGTGTGGAGGAGAAGGGGCCATGCTGCAGCGGTTGGGCAGTTTATAGTCAGGATTTGGCTGCGCGGCCTGCTGCTAATCTGCTTGTGCCTGCCCCAGCTGACTCAGAAACCATCAAGGACTCTACCTTGCAAGACACTGACTCTTGGGACTCAGGACACATGGAAAGGCCACTCTTTCAGGACTTGTGCCTTTCCTGGACTTCACCATGAGCCAGCGCAACACAGCGCATGTTTTCGTAGACTATTGCACAGAGGCTGAAGACAACGTACCCCAGATCCTGAAGGGGAGAGCTGCTGCAAGACAATGGCAACTTTGAGACCCATGAGCGTACTTTCCAGAGGGACTGCAGAACTGTTTGCATGGCTGGCTTAAGATAAGGAGATGGGGACCTATTGGGCTTGGTTTTGGCTTTTAGCCTTTTGGGGAGCAAGAGAAGTGTTGGGTCTCAGGAAAGAACAAAGCTCTGAGCATAAGTGCTCTCAACCCTCCCAGGGTTGGAATCTTGTAAATAAAAACCTGTTTGTCTCAATACTAATTGTCGGGTCATGCACCAAGGCGCATGTGAACAGGCCTTTGTTTGCTCACTTATTTGTCTAGGTTTGCACTGTGTAAAGCATATGCAGACCTAAGGGATAAGGAGGCAGCATGGACAAGGTCAAAGGGAAGATGCTTCTGTCTTTATTTTATGATTTCCGATCTTGACTCCAGAGCCAGATGTCCTGATTAAGGAATAAATGAAGATTGGGAAATTGCCAAAGGTACAGAAAGAGGCAACTAAGAGAAGATGCTTCTGGTAGACCAGAAGACTTCAGAAAAAAAATTAATTTAATTTTATATAAGTGAATTTCCTCTTGACCCAGTACAGCAGGAAATGTAATCTCCCAGGAAAGATAGAGTCGAAGATTTCATTTTCTAGTTATCACTTTTCCTGTGTTAGAGAAACAATTCTACTTCAAAGGCATAGACTGGGAGATGCTTCCTGTGAGGGTGAGTGGAAAGACTGGCTGGTGCTCTGGTCCCTTTATGGGGCACACCCTCAGGGGCAGCCCTTCTAGGGAACTGAGCAGCCCCTGGCTCCTGCCTGCTGGGCTGGAGGGCCCTGTGATGGGGAAAGGGGAGGGGAGAGGGGAGTGCTTCACAGCTACCCTAGCTGAATTAGAGCACAAAGCTGGGTTGTCCCAAGCTTTGTTTAATGACATTTCAATGGGAGGAAATGAAGATTTTTGGAGGAAGTGAATCTCAAATTGTTCTTGTTTCATTCTTCCCCTAAATATATGCATTCCTGGACAGGAAGACAAAGGAAGTAAAGCCCCTGCCCCTCACCTCCATTTGAAATTCCCTCTAAAGCAGGGGTCCTCAACCCCGGGCCTCCCAGGCAAAGCACCCCCCCGCTTTCAGTTTTCCATGAAACCGCTCCCTGCTCTAATGTATTCTTTCTGACCATCATCATCATATCCCAACTATTTGAATTCTAATTAAGAAACAGATCTCTCAGCTTTTGTTAGCTCTGCCAGCTCTTAATGTTCCACAAGGAGCAGGGAAGTGCTATTTTGAGGAGAAGAAGGCTCATTTTTACTGGGTATGACTTAACTTGCATCTCTGTGTTATTTTCTTTCCTTTTTTTTAAAGACTTTATTTATTTACTTTTTAGAGAGAGGGGAAGGGAAGGAGAAAGGACGGGAGAGAAACACTAATCAGTTGCCTCTCACATGTCCCCAACCAGGGAACCTGGCCCGTAGCCCAAACATGTGCCCTGACTGAGAATCAAACCAGTGACCTTTGGGTTTATAGGCCGGGGCTCAATCCACTGAGCTACACTAGCCAGGGAATCTTTCCCTTTTTAAGAATAATCACTTCAAAATAATGAGTGATGCCTAAAGCCACCAGTCTTGCTTCCTGTGGTGAAATGTGGAGCTTGTGTGCATGGCTGGGTTGGTAGGAGGGCGTGCTCCAAACTCCAGCCACAGATTCCCCACACAGTCGGGTCTTTGTTCAGAGGAGCTGACTCTCTGGAGAAAATGAGCTACAGGAGGCACCATCTGCCCTGAAGGGAGGGAAGGCTTTGCTGCATTTAGGGACGGGAAGTGCAATCCTTTACTTCCTAGGGTGCCAGAACAAGAGAGTTGCCTGGTAGGCTGGAGCCTAATTCCCCAGCTCCTCCTGCTTTTTTTTGTCCAGGGCAGAGGGTTGGGGGGAGGGAGTTGAGGACATGAGGATGGTGTTTTTGAAAACAAGGGGGATTGCTGAAGGGTTACAACAGAGGAATAGGTCAAACAAAGGGTCACTGCCCTGCTGGGAGGACATGATGCTGGACTTGTGGGCTGAGCTGGGGAGCTGATTGCAGGGGTGCATCCTGCTCCTCCAGCCCATTTCCAAGGAACAGCTTTAGCTGCCTCTTAACTCATCTCTACCGAGGACCCAGAAGGGGAAAAACAGGGCAGGTTTGCAGCAGCCACATCTGATGTTTTGCAAGTCTTATTTGGAAAAGAGTATGGATGATCCTTGCCTATGAAAACTGTAAGTAAATACAGAATATTGTGGATAGATTTTTTTTTCTTGTTCACCTGTTTATTACAAAGGATATAACTCAGGGCAGCTGGAAGGAAGAGATGCACAGGCAGGGAATGGAGAAGGGCGCGCAGCTCCCACGTCCTCTCTGAGTGCACCACTCTCCAGGACCTCCGCGGGTTCACCAACCTGGACCCTCCACTGATAGGTTCTTTTAGAGAATTTGGGAAGTCCAGTGTTCTGTCATGTAAATGTTCCCCCATATTATCCTTTACATTATTGCTCTGAGAAGGGCATTTTGGTGAAATAGGAGAACAGACCATAAGTTTCCCTTTTCTGGGGCTCTGAGCAAATTTTGCCAAAGCCCCATCTTTCAGAAAAGTGATTTATAGGGAAGCTGAACTTTGTATTCAGAAGGGTAGATTGTATGGGCTAAAAGACTAGCATAGGAGACAAGGGAAGGGATCACAAGGAAGCTCTGAATGTTAAGGGAGGGTCCGGGGGTGAGGAGTATGTGCATATGTGAATGCCCACATGTGTGTGCAAACCTCCCTTCTGAACCAATGAATTCCCATAGGTTTCCTCAGGACCCATAAGTTACCCATTTCCAGGGGCAATATGAAGAACAACGGATGATTGCAGCAAGGAAATCTGAAAGCATGAAGTCTTACTGTATGATTATCTTCTACAAGAAGAGTCAGATGTAAGAAAACAAAACAAAACATCCTCTCCCTCCCCACCCCCAAGCAAAGAGCTCATACTGGCTCCTCCTGAGCTGAGCTGTTCTTAGGTTTCCTTGTGTAAACTAGGCTCTCATTTTGCATAACTATCTTAGAATCAACTGTGTTAGAAATTGTAAGTATTTTTGGGCAGTGTGCCCAAGGGGTTGGAGCCAGGACTGATCTTTATGTTAGCAGGCAGAGCACCTGCCTGAGAAATCTGGGAATACAGGTTTTCTTCCCACGACGCCTTCTCCATGTGAATTAATCTATTAGCCGGTATGTCAGTTTATTTAAGGACATGTGCACTGACAATCGGCTTCCGACTGTATAATATGGTCTTGGGGGAGAAAATGATTAATTGCCTGCTTTAAAAAGTATGTGTGTGTGCACATTGTATTCAGTAACAGTCACTATTCGTATGTGCACATCTACAAAACTAAAGGCAAATGGTCACTAAGAAATTGGTAGGTGTGAATGAACAAATTGTCTGAACATTTGTGCCTCTTTCATGGACATCAGAGTCAAGAGAATCTCAGTTCTTGCTTAATACATTACTATTTTCAAATATAAAACAGGAAATAATTCACAATGGCATGTATTTCTAACCCTTGAGTATGAAATTTCTGGTGAAACATACCTTCTTAAAGAGAAACTGAGGGCTTTAGATATTTTAACTAGGTCTTTAGTGTAACAAACTTTTTTTTGGCTCTGCCTATATTTTACTTCTGAAAGGCTGTAAGTGGTAGTAAACTCTTCATCCAATGTGATAAGAATGCAGAGGCCACTTGGTAGAAATCCAGAATAACAGGCCAGATAATATGATTTCCCATAACCCTAACCCTGACAATCATTAAGTGTCTAAAGCCTTGTGCTAAGTGCATACACACATTACCTTATTCAATTACTGTCCTTTTCTAGTTGCTGGTGATGAGGAGGCTTGTTACAATTCACAAAAATTCCCAGGCCATTGATTCAGAGGCTCTGGAGTGGGCAAGCCTGGGGCTATGGTGTTGATGAAATTGGCAGCAGGAGAGTCAGGACTGGAGAATGTTGCTGAGACAAAGAGGGTGGATGGGAAGCTGGAAAGGAAGGGAAGCCAACTAAAGACTTCAAATGGAAGAAGGCAGTGACACAAAATGCAGGAATGTAAAAGTCATCAGACTCCCTGCAAAGGGGCAAGGAAAACAGGAATGAGAAACAGCCCATAGACTAGGTGATTAGGAAATAATCCAACATCAAAAAGGCGGATCCAAGGGTCAGTTGGCAACAGAAATGAGTTTGCAGAGGGATAAGGACTGGGCTATTACAAGTCTAGTGATAAAGGGAAGCAGAGTTACAGGATGAGATAGCAGTTCCAGAGGGTAGCACAGTAGTACATTATTTTTTCTTTCCTTTTTTAATGGAAAAACCTGAACGTTCTTTCAGTCATTCAGCAAACATTTACTGGATGTCTACTAAGTACCAGGAATTGTGGTTTGTGCTGGGGATTTAGAGTAAACTCATTCAGTCTCTGCTCCTAAAGAGCTCTCTGCTCCTGAAGAGCTCTCCGTCTGAATTTTTTTGAGGAAGACAGAGAGGTGGACAGAAAATGCTAACGTTGAACATTAAGAGCTCTGAGGGAGGGAAGCCTGGGATCTTGCCCCACGGAGCAAGGGGTACTATATTAACCTTTACTGGGAAGGGTGGGGGGCTGGGAACACCATCACAGTGGTCCATGCTGAGCTGGGCTTTGAGAGATGATTAGGAGTTCCCCAGGTGAAGGATGGAGGATGGCCTTGAAGGCAGAGCAAACAGTGGATCAAAGGGATGGAGAATCTTACTGAGTTGTATGGCGGCAGCAGAGAGCACAGCAAGTACAGCATTGAGGCTGGAGACAGCTTATGAATTTCATACCATGCCAGGAACTTTGGGTTTTAACATGTGAGTAGATCAAGGGGAAGCAGCCCTTGATAGGAGAGGAGCGTAGCCTGACTGAGAAAGGCACGAATGCTGCTCTACGCGACTGGGACTCTGCAGGTTTGCGCATGTCAGTGAATAGGGTAGGAACCCGGGCCAGAGTGTAGTCCTTCCTGACTGACTCACTCGCTCTCAAAGAAAGGGGTCCCTGGCCCGATTCCAAGCCCCGAACCCCAAACCCCGAAGTCTGGCCCTAGCCCTAAGCCTAACTGCCATGACCAGTGCGGAGTGGGGGCTCCTGAGTAGGGTGGACGGGAGGTGAAGAAAAGATACAGACACAGACAATTTAAGGAAAAGCGGGGACCAGGTGGGACATTGTCCTCTGATGGAGAGACAATGAGCACTGAACATGGTCTCCGAGTTCATTTCATAGGGGTTGGTGAATGAAGCTCACGGACATCTTGCAAACTTAGGGAGATGCTGCAGGCTCAGACTGTTCCATTCCCAGGCTATCTAACTGATACATGTGTGTCCTGCAAAAGTAACAGTCATATTATGCTGAAGCTTGCGGTTAACTCCTTCTTGACCCCTACGGGTTCCGACTGTACGAGGCAAGCCTTCACAGTCTTGCACACCTAACCCTAGCCCTGGCCCTAACCTGGGTTGGGGTGTAGTCCTTCCTGACTCACTTACTCGCACGCCCTCTTACAGGTTCTAGCCACTGCAGAGCAGTAAGAGGGCAACTCAGCGATTGAATCATGCAAGATCATGCTCGAGGGACCGGGAAGTCTCGCGAGAAGAGAGGATGACGTGAGCTGTAAGAGGGTGAGTTAGTGATCAGGTCCAGGAGGTCACCCTCGAGCTGGGGGGGGAATGGGAAGTCTCGCGAGAGGAGAAGATAAGACGGAGCTGTAGGAGGGCGGGAGGGATAACTGAGGGTCTGGGAGAGAAACTGAGGCAAGGTGCCGGTGATTTCGAGGTGGGGAGGAGGAACGTGGAGGCGGTTGGCCGGGGCTGTCCTTGGTTTCCTTTGTACAGTAGTTGCTGAGGCCATCTGGCTGTGAGGGAGCGACTGGGAGGGGCGAGGATGTCTGGAGGAACTGCTCTGGGGAATTCTAGAGAGAAATAAAAGGATTGCCATATTGTCATTATTTGAGATTCACAAAGACTTTCATCAGATATGTAACTGATTCTCACTGACACCATCGCCCCTACATCTGTTGTTCTGCTTTTAAATGAAGTGTGATCTTTCTTTCCAATATCCATTTTCTGCAAAGATATCAAGTGCCAGAGGTCTGGCCGTTCTGAACGGGAGCCAAGGTATATTGGTTACATATTCTCTGTCGTCTTGTTGAAACTTGTTTATATTTCTCAGAGTGCAACATCAACCAACAGGAAGGACTTTTCAGGGAACCCCGTTATTGCTATTGGTGGGAGGATTTTCAGGGGAAGAAAAATCGGGACAAGTATTTAAACTTCCTGAGTTTCTAAAAGTGAATTCCTACCATTTTTTTTTCTTCTCAAAGAGAAGAATGACGTGGGAAATGTTGCTTGGCCGGTGCCGCGAGCACCGGATCTGGAGTTCCGAGCTGAGGTTTTTGTCCAGGTTGGCCCATTAATAACCTGTGTGACTGCGGGCAAACTTTGTTCTTGGTTCCAGCTGGATTACACCTTGTCTCGTTTTCCCCTCACACACCGCAATTATAGAAATACCACAATAGATCTATCAGAAAACTTACGGCCTTCAATTCATGATTTTATACGTACAAATAAACAGTTTCAGGAAACAGTTCTAAATTCTATTCCTATGACTAATTTATAAAATGAAATTGACTACTGTATGTTTTTATCAGTTTGCGACAAGTCGAGTCTGCTCAGGGGAGCAGTTTCCCTTTTCCACAAGGGAAAAGGAGCAATGAGACCAGAATATGAGGAAATCCCCGTGTGGAGACTGAGAGTGCCTTGGAGGAGCGTTTGGGAGAAACTCTCCATGATCAAAGCGCATGGACTTCGCAGAGGATGTCTGATGTTTGCTGATTTTATCCACAATGATTTTGACAATTGATTTAGATGACTTGTGGCATGTTTTCAAATAAAAGAAAATTTGTGTGACTTCTTTCTTTCTCCCAGGGGAAAAAAAAGATGATGAAGGGAAAAAATGAGGATAGTTTTTTTATTCATGAGGAAAATAATGATATGACCTACTCATGCAAAGAATTTTAGTTTTTAGGGATTAATTTCATGGTAGACAGATTAATGTTCCTCCCCTCACCTACCCATATCCTGATCCCTGGATCCTGTGAAGATGTTACTTTGCATGGCAAAGGGATTCTGCAGATGTGATTAAGTTAAGGATCCTTAGATCAGAGATTATTCTGGATTTTCCAGATAGGCCCAATATAATCACAAGGTCCTCAAAAGAGGAAGGCAGGAGTGTCAGAGTTGAAATTCTGACAAAGGAAGCAGAGGTCAGAGTGATGCCGCTGATGGAAGGGGTCATGAGCCAGAGAAGCAGTTGGCCTCCAGAAACTGAAGAAGGCAAGGAATGGATTCTGCACTAGAGCCTTCAGAGGGGTTGCAGCCCTGCCAACACCTCGATTTTAGCCCCTTATGGTCCATTTTTGGACTTCTGATCTCCAGTGTTCTAAGGCGATAAAGTAGTGTTTTAAGCAACTAAATTTGGAGTAACTTGTTACAGCAGCACTTGCAAACTGATACAAACCTGTTGAGTGATCTTGCATTCAAACAAGATGAAACTTGTTTGAGTGATACTCCCCTTGGTTATAAACTCCTCTGTGTGCCCTTAATGCACTCCATATTTCTTTCTTTCATAGCCCTGGTTACTTTCTTCTATAATTGCCTTTAAAATTATTTGTCTCCTTGTTAGATGTGAACTCCCTGAAGGTAGGGAACTGTCTTATTCCCATTTGAGTTTCAGCTGTAGGTGCCATGCCTTGCATGAAGTAAAGAAACACTGCCACTAGCTGGGTGAACTAGTGATATCAATACCAGATGGGAACATTCAGATGGATCAAAGGGGGTCTTTGGTGTCTGCCATTTCTGTCTTGGTAATATCTGGCATTACCCTTTGATGATACAACTGAAGGTGAAAATGCATTGTGAGGGAATGTGTGAAAGTGTCCTTTTATGCACAGACTGCTTGGGTCCAGCCATTTTCACCACCCACCCCTTCCCTGACACTGTCATCTGTAGAGGTCTGACATAGACAGTTGGCTCATGTGGGTGACTGAACCTGAGTGGGCTGTGAGGCCTGAGGTGACCCATCCAGGAAGGATCATTGCCAAGTCTTGTTCAACTTCCACAGCATGGTGGTTGTTGGAAGCTGTGGATAAATCCCCATGTGTTCTCATTCCTCTTTCATGCCTGTGCTGGGTCTACTGGGGCTACAGACCTGCCTGAGGCTCTGCTTCCGTTCTCTTGGCTGGGCCCTTGATACAGCCCTGGGGCCTTCCTTGACCCGGAACAAGGAGAGTCTTGTCTTTTCTGCTTGGCCACTGGTTGTGCCTCTCGAGCATTTGGCTGAGCTCCTGTGAATGTCATCATCTCCATTGCTGGGTTCTCTCTAAAGATTTAGCTTCCTGTCTTCTCTGTCTGGACTTGGACAGTTCTTCTTTGGAGACTGCCCTGTAAACTCCATCCTTCTGGTTATTCTGTATCTGCAGCTCTTGGATGTCACAGAGGCCTGTTCCTTCCTATTCCTGCTTCTCTTCTGTCCGGGAACCACTATCTGTTCTCCTCTCCAATTTTTTACTCCCTATTCTGGATGACTCTTCATCAGAGAAGCTCCATTCGGTTTCCCTTTGAGCACCAACCACCCAGGTGGCACCCCAAGACCTCCTTCTCTACCCAGTCTAGCCATTTTGAGTTTCCCATTTGGGAAAATGAAAAATTCCAGAAATAAATGAAAAATTCCAGAAAGGGTGATTCCATCACCCTTTAATTCCAGAAATAAAGGGTGATGATGATTATACAACAACGTAGATGCCAATGAACCATACATTTAAAAATGGTTAAAATAGTAAAATTTACTCATGCGTATTTTATCACAATAAAAAAATGACATGGAAATCATAGTCTGGTGGTTTCCCAGCAGTGCTCCTTAACTTTTTGGTTAAGGTTACACACGCACAGAACTAAAAAGATGCACAAAAACTGTTGAAGGAAACTGGTTATCAGCATGGTTCCCATTTTGTGTACCTTCTTCTTTCCAAGCAATGGTGAGAAAATCTTTAAACAGCATTCAAGTATACTCTCCAACTAAGTAATTTTTCCCTGTGACTTCTGCACACTATTTTAGGAAAGAAAACATGCTTAGTGGGTGATATGTGTATTGGCAAAAGTTCCCAAATAAACTTGGTGACTGTGGCAACTCATTGGAGTTGTGCTGGGAAACCCAGATTTTGCAATTTGTGCACACACATTGAATAACACTTTTTGACCTGGGTTTCCTTACTTCACGTAGGAAGTATGTGACCTGGTAAGGCACTCTGAAAGAGAGCTTTGATCAAAACAAAGCAAGCAGTATGATTCCTCTTAATTCAGGTAATTTTTGTGGCTGATAAGTGTTGAACTTTTGAAAAAGAAATACCACCTGCTTAGGCTGGGAATGAGAGTTTGTTGTTTGGGTGGAATAAACACCGATAGGATGGCCAGATGGCCCTGAGCACTTGGCGGGCTGGTCGGGTGATTTCCCCTGAGTCATTTTGCCACTGTGTTCTGCATGCAGTGGGACTGTCAGGGTCTATTGTGGTCTATATGGTACCTGCCCAGCCTTCCCATGGCCACTCAGGTTGCAGGTCCTCTTACAATTTGGGGTACAAGCATGGTAAGAATGGAAGCACCTTCTCTGATGTAATTTAGAATAAAAATATGTATAAGAAATGCAACAATTTTCTGTATTTTTCCCAGATGATTAATTCAGAACTATTTTGAAATATCAAATTATCTTTCCTTCTTTTTTCCTTTTTCTATTTCTTCATTTTCTCTTCATTCCTGTGTTTCCTGTTGGTCTGTTTTGCAGTGTGTGTATTCAGAGTACTGCTCTCTGTGCTTTTGTGTCATGCAATGCCACCACAACAAAGTACCAAATAAGACCCCACCTGTCCTACTTTGCAGTCTGTCTGTAGGCTGGGATTATTGGTGTCAATAGGGGTACATAATGGGAGATGTAGAGAGAGGTCTAAGGAGTTGGCAAATAAGTGGTTGGTAAGAGTTATTTGAAAAAAAATTGACAGGGACCATGTGGAGGTAACCTCCGCCCTCAGCATTTTCTTTCCTGTCTGCTCCTCCCTTTGACTCCCCTCACAATAGCCTCTCCTAGGAGAAAAAGGACAGTAACCCATAAAGAGAACGGGAAGTGTTAGAGTGCTTCCTCTTTCTCCTGGAGACAGCTGGGCAGCCTAGCAGGTTTCTGCTGGGGAGACACCTTGCCCCTGGAGAGCCAGTCAGTCCAATGAGCTCTCTCCCCATGGTTGTTGTCAGACCCAGAGCAGACAGGAAGAGGTTTTTTCTAGGTTGTCCATGTGACACAGATCGGCCTGATAGGACAAGGGCAGACAAGCTGACCCTCAGTAAAGACTGCATGTCTGGCTGGTCCTTTTCTGATAACCCAGAGGTGGAAGTTGGGTTTGAGTGGTGGCAAACTCTCTAGTCGCATCTGGAACGTTGCTCAATGTCTGCCATAGTAATAATAATTACAGCTCATAGGCCATCTAAATGCTTTTTCTGCCTCATCTCATTTTAACCCCATGAGGCACTGCATTGTAGTACCTCCCTTTTACATCCTGAAGCTAAAATAAGTGATTTACCTAAAGACAGAGTGACTTAAGATGCAGACTCTTCATTACGTGTCTACTTATTGACTCCTTCTTTTACTCTTTTCAACACTATTGATTCTTATCTTTTGCTAAGAAATAGCTCAGTCCACTGTGTACGTCAGGAAACAAAGTAAAGTCTGGTTTGAAAACTGTCTCTGGGAATTCACTGTAGGTAGAAGAAAGAGGGAAGCTAGCTTCTCTGAGCCACATTTACTGTCAGCTAAAGTCCTTCCCACAGTCTGGGTGGGTTGACAGCAAAACAGGCATGTTTTAATATTATTGGGATGTGGGGTGTAACAGTAAAAAAGAAACAATTTTGAGGTGAGGTTTTCCTGAGCTGGCATGGAGCTATATATGTTTTTTTATCTAAAATATATTTTATTGATTATGCTATTACAGTTGTCCCATTCCCCCACTTCACTCCCCTCCACCCTGCCCACCCCCTCCCACCCACATTCCCCCCCTTTAGTTCATGTCTATGTGTCATAAGTTCTTTAGCTTCTACATTTCCCATACTATTCTTGCCCTCCCCCTGTCTATTTTCTACCTACCGCCTATGCTACTTATTCTCTATACCTTTTCGCCCTCTCTCCTCCTCCCACTCCCCTGTTGATAACCCTCCATGTGATCTCCATTTCTGTGGTTCTGTTCCTGTTCTAGTTGTTTGCTTAGTTTGCTTTTGTTTTGGGTGTGGTTGTTAATAACTGTGAGTTTGCTGTATTTTTACTGTTCATATTTTTATCTTCTTTTTCTTAGATAAGTCCCTTTAACATTTCATATAATAAGGGTTTGGTGATGATAACCTCCCTTAACTTGACCTTATCTGGGAAGCATTTGATCTGCTCTTCCATTCTAAATGAAAGCTTTGTTGGATAGAGCAATCTTGGATGTAGGTCCTTGCCTTTCAGGACTTGGAATACTTCTTTCCAGCCCCTTCTTGCCTGTAAGGTCTCTTTTGAGAAATCAGCTGACAGTTTGATGGGAACTCCTTTGTAGGTAAGTGTCTCCTTATTTCTTGCTGCTTCTAGGATTCTCTCCTTTATTTTAATCTTGGGTACTGTGATTATGATGTGCCTTGGTGTGTTCCTTCTTGGGTCCCACTTCTTTGGGGCTCTCTGAGCTTCCTGTAAGTCTATTTCCTTTGCCAGATTGGGGAAGTTCTCCTTTATTATTTGTTCAAATAACTTTTCCACTTGTTGCTCTTCTTCTTCTCCTTCTGGTACCCCTATAATTCAGATGTTGGAACATTTAAAGATGTCCCGGAGGTTCTTAAGT